GTGACAAGGGAGTGCTGGTGGACGCTCGAGGTGGGAGATGACCCAGTAGTGACCCAGTAGTGAAGGCTTCTGGAGTTCGCTTGCAGCGGCGCTGGCCCCGGGCCAGGGTGCCATGGGGGCGGAACCTGGCAAGCCGGTGGGGGCATCCCCAGCGGTGCCCGCAACAGTGCAGCCAGAGGAAGTGTGGCCTAGACACCCAACCATGACCCGGATGTGTGTGGCGGCAACAGATCAGTAAAGCCTGACAGCATACTATGGTGGTGCGGTAGTACACGGCAGTACAGCGGCAGCAGCAGTTCAGCGGCAGTGGCAGTACAGCGGCCGCGGCAGTACAGCGGCCGCGGCAGTACAGCGGCCGTGGCGGTACAGCGGCCGCAGCATTACAGCGGCGGCAGCGGCAGTTACAGCGCCGCAGTCGAGGAAGGAAGGCTTATATATCCACTTACTATGCAACCCACTGCACTACCTACTACCAATTCGGTGGAATTGCGCTCATAGGCACGGGCTCCCAATGGATGCAAGCATGGTCCTCGGACCATTTTCACAGGTTGCCAGCTTGCAACACGTCGCTGTTGTCAATTCACATACAAAACACACGGTACCAATTAAACGTTGAGGTGGTAATTGGTCGGATCACAACTGGTAGAGCTTAATCGTTGAGGCTGAAAGTCCATGTTAGCATGCTAAGACGGGGTTAAACCCGGGTACACTTCAAACATGTGATAAGAATGACTTCACCAGAATTAGCACGGGACTTAGCCGTTCTTAACCCTGTACACGTTTAGTAGGGCACGGTGGCCTTGTTATTGGCTGGTCAAGAAACCGTTCGTTGCAAAATGACGTTTATCCTCTCGATAGGCATACCCATTTGGCAACATGTCCGAGTGGCTCGCCACACACGGGGATGCTCCAGGCAGGCTGCGAGATCCAGAGCTCTCTGGTTAAAAACCGGCGCATCTCAGCTTTGTAACTTGGCGTGCATTGCTGTAATGTCTTAGTGCACGGTTGCGTTCGTTAGTGGGCTCCAGTCCACCTGCTGCCACTGTGTTCCTCACATCACCCTGCCATCGGTACGGCTGCGGCCCCTCTCCTGGCGGGTAGCAGGTTGGGCTTGCACCCCACTGCCCTCAGCACCACGCATGATACCCCCTGCGCCCCTCCCTCGCCATGGGGTGTCGTCAGCCCTAACATGCCACTCATTCATTTACCTACCAAACGTGTACAAGGATACGTACAGAGTTACCTGGAGTTCATTGTAACACAAAAAGGGATAATATTCTCTCAAGGGCGTTTAAGTCGGTTTTCAGTCTGCTTTACCGATTCTTTGCCGTTTTTAGGAAGCGACCTTGCCAGCTACCTTGTGCGAGCACTGTACGGCAGCGTGTATATGCATTTGGCGCGAGCAAAAGCGATTGAACGTTGGGCGACCGCAGTGCATACGTGAAAGGCACAGTGTATTGACGAGGATGTTCCCAGCGCAAAACGACGGACAAAGGCCATACCTATCAAATGGCGACCGTTGGATTGGCCTAACGAAAGGTGGCTAGCCAGTAGGCATGTGCAAAAAGCGTAGGTCGATTTCAGACCTACGTCATTCACGTAGTTTTATATATACGCTTTGGGTGTAGCGTAGTATACGTACCCTACGGATTCGGCCATTCCTTGGGTCGCTTGCGGGTCGGCCTCTGGGAAAGGTCAAATACCGCTACAAAGAGCCATTTCGTCGCCGTTTCCTAACCATTGCCTTACATATCATTAGTTATAGGCCTTGTCTGTAAGGTAATAACGAAAAATTTCAGAAAGTCCACTGGTCATCGAAAATGCAATGCTCACACAAACTCACGAAGACATTCTATATGAAGTATTAATTGCTGAAGTTTGACTATTCCCTTTTTGTGCATATCTTGCCCAAGACCCCAAGTTTCGATGGCCGGGTCAAACGGCCTTTGAACGATGGACTGGCGCCATCACCACTACCCTCCCTAAACCAACACCTAAGCATCATCACGATTCATCAGCATCTAAAAGGCCACTTAGACGCTGAGCAGGATCTCCTCGTCGTCGCCGGAACCGTAGGTGTAGAGTATGTGTACATAGGGATGGGAACATAGCTCTGAATGTGCCATTTTTCGGCCAGGCGCGATTTTCCTCCCCTAGATCGCCGAAGTGGGCCTTACTGATGCGTTTAGCGCTCGTTTTGAAGTCTTTTAGATATAAGGTCTGGAGTTTCAAAGCCGGCAGACGTCAAACAAAGCAACAAGGCCAGCAGGCGCGATAAGAAAATTCACCGCAAAAGTTGGCCTAGCCTGATTTCGGCCAGCACCGGTTTGCAACCTTTGCACCGCCATTAAGCAAATTCGCAACCGCGTATTACATACATAACATCATTATGATGTAAACCAGGGGTCTATGGTGTCATACGGGCCATTGCAGAAGGTCCGGCTAAGTTCACCGACCGACGACATTAATTGACTAGTCTAGCCGCTCGCGGCGCTCAGGTGGTCAGCAATTTGGAGGCACTGCTGCTGCTGACCTCAGCTTTTTTTACAATGGTCCTTAAAGCTTGACCTTGGAACCCCCCATGCATCTGCATGCGGTTCTTCAAACAAGCCCCTGAAAGCGCCTCAGCAGAACCGCCATCCAAGGCGCTTACATTGATGAACCAAGGTCGATTGCTGTTACTCATATGAGCGAAATGAGTGTATATGCGCTAAGCGGCCAACTGGCCGAAAAATTTATGTCCCCGATGGCAGCTTTTACGTTGGTTGTCCGTCTACCCGCGTCTTTTCCAGCAAATAGCGGTCTAGACTTCTACTATACTTAGATATGAATGTTTTGTCCTAAGACAACTTGGTCTGAAGCCACGGGATAAGGGAGCTTATGGCAGGTTTCTCGATCTGGCCGAAATCAGGGAGACCTTGGAATTAGGCACATTCAGAGCTACGTTATACGCGTAAAATTTACCATACGTATTAGACGTCAAATTTACGCTGGAGAAATGGCCATGACACGTACAGGATTGCGTACAATTGTACGGTACGATTTACCAGGGCCTCGAAGCTGCAAGTATGATATCACAGACCATCGCAAAACGCGAAGGACAGGTCCTGCTTAAAGTTTAGGTAGCTCAGCAGTTTTCGACGCTGTAGTTACGAGGGCTTTAGGGCGGTCAAACGTTGTCGTCAAACGTGGTCAAATGTAGGCGCCATGGCTCGGTTTGAACGCGATTTAGCTTATCCGCGCCACCTACCAATAAGGAAAGCGTTTGAATGTGTAAAAGACTCTAATAGAAGCCGTGTTTCCTTGATTATCCTTGAAAGTGGCCGACCCGGGACAGTGAAAAGCGTACATTACGGCATGTACGCGTATAAGGTACGCGTACAATTATACGTATAAGTACGTATAACAAGAGTGATTATACGCATTTTGCCCATCCCTATGTGTACACCGTTGACCTATGCTTACATACGCTTTTTGTATCCATTTTTCCTACCTATTTAATTCACGTATACCTATATATAATATTTTCATACGTGTAACGTACCCCCGCACATCCCTATTAGCCAGCTACCCTGTGTGCCAGTACTTTACAGTTTGGCTATACAGCTTAGCTGATCATTACCCTGATTATGAGGTACGTCCGATAGATAGTTGGGAGGGGAGCCCCTTAAACCCACCGCACATATTGCTGTATAGAGGAAGCTGTATAGAGGAATACATGTCGGGTCAAGGATTATCGCATATAAGCGCCCCGATATGGACCGTTTAAAGCAAAAGTTGAAGACCCATTCATTTCTCGGCCGCCTGTAACAATGGCTTCAACACCCCCCTCCGAAAGGCCAAGACCCAAGGAGATACTTATGGCTCGGAAGGCGCTACCTATGCAAATTGGGAGGTGTCTTATTTAGGTTTTGCCGACACTTTTAACATGATGAGGAGGTCAGGCTCGGCAATCTCGGCATCGTGCTGAGAAGGACTTCAGCCATTGCACTGTAACATCGCATGTTAGCTTATAGGCGAGGTACCCGCCGTTTGCGCTACAGTTCACAGGCATTATGCCGCACAAACCAATAGCAAAGGCCGGCAACATCGTCATCAAAGGATTGTGTGGGCCCTGAGTAGCATAGTACATGCAAGCATGCTCCTGCCGACTTTCACAGGTTGCCCTTTGCCGGCATGCCGCTGTTACCAATTCACTAAGTACTGTTTACGGTACCAGGACACACCATCGAGGAGCGCTAATCGGTGTTGCCGAGGTGGTCCTTTTCAATGGCTAGTTAATAATTTGTTTATTGCGAAATCAAGTTTGTTTGGCTTGCAGTTATTTTTACTGTATACAGATAACAAATATCTATTAGGTGCAATTAATAGTTTTATTTAGTTTGTATGTTTTGACGATACGGACGGACGGATGGACACACGGGGCAATCCTGGGGGGCGAGCCCCCCTGAAGCCGCTTCACGGCGGGGGCTCCACCCAAAAAGCGGAGCGAAATTTAAAATGTTGAAGCTTGTGGTCAATTGTGGCAACCCTAGAACCCCTGTGGACTCCCAGTTAATAGAAATCGCAAGAGGCCTTTAACCTGTCTAGTTTTGAAAACGTTTTCATTACGGACGGACACACGGACATCAGTTATCCACGGGGTATCGGCCCCTTACAGGGGGAACATAAATACATCATGACAGCTAGTTCTGCTCAGAATTTGGCTGCTGCATGGGCCTGTTTGAAGGTATTTTTTCGCCATGCAAAAATAGTTGCACTTACGCTACGCAGCGGAAAGTGGCCACACCAGTTACCTTTCCAAAGCTGAAATGTAAGAATGCAGCTTCCTCGCTCCACGCTCACCATACTGTATGTGCACACCTATACCTATCCCCTGCCTTGGCTACCCAATGCAAACTCATGAATGGGATCTATATGGCCGTCCACGTGCTGTTTCCCTTTGCATATGGCGATGCTCCTGCATGTGTAGCCCATTTTGCTGCCTCCCAGCAACCTACCAGGTTGGTCACGAGGTTCCTCTTATGGAACCTTCCCAGGAAGTGCGCCACATCCTGCACTGCTCTCTCCAGCGCGTACCTCTCCGTATCCACCTTTGCCCACGCACTCTCCTTCACGTCCGCCTCCTGCAGCACATTTTGTGCCCATAGCACCGTGCCAAACAGCTTCTTGCAGTTGGCCCAGTTGATTACCGCGCCATCTACATGCTCCTTGATCTGCGTCAGCGCGGCACTGAGTGCTGAACTGGCACTAAAGGGGCCGGGCATCTGCGGGGAGGGGAGGCGGTGAGGTTATCTGTGCAGCCTAATGAGCCTGGCCAAACAATGCAGGGTCAAATTAAGATCTAAGGGAGAAGGGGTTTGTAGGGCAGGGGCAAGAGCGCTGAAGCCTGGTTGTTTTGCAAGACGTGAGAGAGTGGCAGGCTGATGATGGGTCGACTGACAGCAGGTAATCTCGCAAGGAAGGTGTATCCTTAGGTCCGTGATGTCGGTGTGGCTACTGTGAACCACCTTACACAACAGACTTTCAATTTGATGGCATACATAAGTTCACAGACGGGGTCGGCTATCAGTAGATGCGATCTTTGTCCCGCCGACTTATAGGTGTCGTCGACATTCAACACACCACTGTTGCCAATCAACTAAAGTAATTTGTTAAGGTACCGGGTAAACATCATAGAGGAGTGGTTATCAGTGTCGCTGCAGTGGTCCTTCTCAATGGCTAGTCAAGAAAGTGATTGTTGTGAGTCATGTTTGTTTGACTTTGTAGTAATTTTCTTAAGATAGAGATTATAGACAGCTCGCATACTTTTAAAACCAAAAAGCAACTGAAGCAGCAAGCATAGAATGTACTGAATGCGGCTCTGATACATGTACCCATGCCATCATCTCTGGCAGGCGTTGTTGGGGATGAACATGTAGCAAGGGAAGCATACGTTTTTAGGGTTGCAAGGAGCTTAACATATATAATATTGTTTTAATTAAGTATTTAATTGAAACAGGCGATGAGGAGACATGAGGAAACCTTTCTGCCTTCGAATTGTAAATGTCAACACGTGATGGCTTCACAACGGAAATTTGTGCCGAAGCATGTGGGCAACAGATACATTGCAGGGATGAGGCATTTGGCTGTCTTCATTGTGTATCATGCTGGCGGCAGGCATGGCCAATGGACATCCACTGGCGTCCACTCTCCATGTTGACCCTCACGTGGCCCTACAAATAAAAGGCATTGCCTACCGTGAGCAAACTGCCTTTCTGTCCCTGTGGAGCCATGGTTTGGCGCATTGTCAGCTGGCAATCCCAATCCTAAGAATCGAATTAATAATATCAGTAATACGTAAGGACGCCTAAATGTTTAATACAGTTTGTAACCCTACATATGTACAATACTGGCTTACCGAGTGCACAAACATTGGTTTATCTTGGACACCCTACACATAATAGGCAAGGGCAACAAACAAGCAACTGCACTAAATGATCTGCCTCATTACCTCCTGACACTCCTGCACGCCAGCCATCCCTGCAGTGTGCAGCGATGGAATATTTTCGAGAAATGGTTGCCACCCGGCCTTCTTCAGCACATTCAGAATCCTCTGGATGGACTTCAGCTCTTCTTTGTCAGCATCGAATGCCAGCATTAGGTACGTTTCCTCCTCTGGTTGAGGGTCGGACCTCCTCCTGTTGGGCATGTCACGGTCTAATCTGAGACCGGCGATTGACTTGTCCACTAGCACTGGGTGGAAGCGTGCGGTGTGCAGCAGCACCTCCACCAGCAGGGGGTTCTCCATCAGGGCCGTCACCATGGAGCAGCGCACCTGCCAGACCAAGAAGAGCACAGCGTCTAATACCATAAACTTTGGTTCACGACACCAATTGCTGTAACAGTAGCAGGTCATTGATGGTATTTGTATATGCTCGACAGATGCATTTCCAAGTTCCCACTCTCTTTACTTTTCCTTTCCTTTACCTACCAGCCTGGGTGTGGCACTCCCTGGCTCCTCCACCACATCGCTTAGCAGTCGTCTTAGCTGCTCCAGGGCAACGGCATCCACTGCTGCATAACTCATTAACATTGAGGATAGGCGGCTGATGAGGGGATCTATGCTTGCTTCGGTGCCATTCCCGGATGTAGATGCTTCAACATCGTAAGGGTCCTGAGTAAGGTGGCAGAAAGAGGGTAATGGAGCCTGAGCCAATGGCACAGCAAGCATACATACAAGTGTTGTTTCACGTCATTCCACCTAGATGACATGTGTACGTTTTTCCCCGCCGCACACTACCTAACAACCACGCACCGTGTAGAGGTTCAGGCACGCTAGCTGCGTTTTGGTGCTGCCACCGCCAACTTGGGTGATGATTAGCCGCACACGCCGGACCAGCGGGCCGGCAGCTCCAGCAAAGGAAGTGAAGCGGGTGTAAGCTAGGGCGTGGAAGCGCCCAGGGAAAACCTGGCTCCTCCGCTCGTCCAAAAGAGTCCATTTGTCCTGACGCCCTAGTTAGAGAGGGTTGCAGACGTATGTCATGATTCCATGTCTCAACCATGCACCTACCAACAAGGGGGTTTCAGCTTCCTCAAAGCTGGAAAAGGGCGGAGCCCCTCCTCTTTAGTACAGGAACGTATTATCACCACTGGAATGATTGCGATTATTACAGGGGAGTGGAACGACTCAAGTGCGACGCACAACCCTATGGGCCTTATAGACCTGGAATGCGCTCCTGTGACTCCACGGCACCAGTTGACCTAACACACCTCGTTATACGGACGCTGAATCCCCTTGTTTACTGTAGTTTTAGTGCTCGTTGCATGGCTAGACGGGCTCAGAGCCCCTTGTCCAGCCGAGGCCGGCCGCCTTGTTCACCCATGGCGTACATTGTGTCCTCACTCATTGCACACATTGTTAGGTTACGCCTGTTCAATCGAGTACTTAGTAACGTCTTATCATGCTTGATAACACCCACGCCTTAGCATACAGAACCCAAATCGACGGCGTATCTGCCACATGGAAGTGCTTTCAGGGTCCCGCAGAGTTTCACCTACATTACTAACATGATGAGGAGGTCAGGCTCCTCAATCTCGGCATCGTGCTCAGAAGGACTTCAGCCATTGCGCCGTCACATGACATGTTAGCTTATAAGCGAGGTATCCCGTACCCGTTTGCGTTACAGTTCATACGCATAAACCCATAGCAAAGGCTTGCAACATCGTGTGGGCTCTGAGTAGCACAGTAGATGCGAGCATGCTCCCGCCGACTTTCACAGGTAGCCCTTTGGCGACACGCCGCTGTTACCAATTCACTAAATACTGTTTACGGTACCAGGACAAACCATAGAGGAGCGCTTATCGCTGTTGCCGAGGTGGTCCTTGTTCAATGGCTGGTCAATAAATCGTTTGTTGCGAAATTAAGTTTGTTTGGCTTCCAGTTATTTTTACTGAATACAGATAACAAATATCTATTAGGTGCAATAAATAGTTTTGTCTAGATTGTATGTTTTGCCGTTACGGACGGACACACGGACACACGGACAGGGGCAATCCTGGGGGGCGAAGCCCCCCCGAAGCCGCTTCGCGGCGGGGGCTCCGCCCAAAAACCCCACGCACCCTGCTCGTAGTCCTCTTGTGTGACCACCTCCAGGAGCCAATCTGAGGGGGCACTGCTGGGAAGTTCATTGCCAGACAACAGTTCGTAGCCGACAAGTCGGACAGCCTGTTGATGGCAAAGCAGTAGTTAGCGGGGATATAGTAACCGTATCAAGCCACAATACTGCTTTAATGCATGCATGGAGGGTGTTGGTTGGAATGGGTAACAAATCAATCACTTCCCACCCGTTACATCTTACTGGGTCATCCTCTGGAAGTTTGAACTCCACCCAGGTGAAATTCCGGCCGTTCCAACCCAAATCTGATTCCAAGTCCACCCATTTGGTAGTTAAGCGACCTGCCGGGGAAGACAGCGCAGAACCATAGCATAAGTGAAGTTATGTGGATAGCTAATGCGCAGTGCACGCTGTACATAAGATGGCTGGGCAATGCATGCTTGACAGCGTGGGATTACTACACACGAACCAAGGGTGTCGGCCTTACATTCCCAAAGATACCTCTCCAACCCTTGCTGTACAACCGACTTTGCAAAAAAGCCCCAACCTTTCTGAACAGTTTTAGAATGTTGAGATTCAAAGTCCCCAAGGCAAAGGTCATTTAAATTATAAGCACGGTATACATTTCGGGTTGCACCCTGAAACCCCGACATTGTTACCATTAAAGTACATCTACTCAAGGGCTTGCACGTGCACTGCAATGCATGTAGCTATGGCTAAACGCCATGCCCAGAAACAGCCAATTTATCCATCTGGCCCGACATACCGTCGAACAGGTTTAAGACACTCTCATCGTATAGCTCAGTCACGTTGTCTGCACGTGATCTGCATGAACCCCTGCAGATGAGACCCGCCTTAGCTGCCAAGGTGCTGCTGACATGGGCATAAGCTTGCATCCAGACCGTAGCCTGAAGGTTGGGACATGACGTGATGGCAGGGTTTCAGGTAAGGGATTTTCTGTGTTACAGGAGTATGTGTCACAACTGTACATGTAGTGCATCACATGCTTTACATTGAATGACGGTATTGCATGCATAGTTTGGCAAACGTTACATAGGAAGGTTGCAATTGTTTGGCGCTTCTGCACCCTAGGTAACATAGGATGATGTCAAGCATTCCATTCGACCTACCTTGAAAACGATGGAGCTGGCCTTACAATTTAGCGTCGCTCCTCGGCACTGCATGAACTCGGACAGCAGACTGCAGACGGCTTCATCGCCGGCACCTGAGATGGAAAGTGTTCCTCCAGACAAAACTGTAGGATTCCGCACAAGCGCCCTCCCAAGGTATCGAGACTGATCTAGGGTAAACGGCACCCCATCAAGGCGCAACTCCATGAGGCAGCAGTGCTGTTCAAGCAAATCGGCCAGGCTCCGTATGCCTCCTTCTGTGATGGTGTTGCCTATATTGTGGAACGCATATGTCAATGCTGGTCACGCAAAGAAATGGCTGGAGTAACATGCGTGGCGACCTCGCAGAGGCAAGTTGCCAGAGCAGCACATGGATTGGAAAATCAAAACTCCACTAATTGAAAGGCACTTCACACACGCACCTGACAAGTCCAAGACCCTTATGTTTGATAGTGATTGCAACTCCCGTGCGACATGCTGAACGCCAACATCCGTGAGACCAGTTTCCTTGAAGTAAAGGGCTGTCATGCTGATTAGCTGCTGGCCGGTCAGAGCCGTTATGCCGTTATCGCCAATATGGTTCCCTGCATTGCAAATACTGGAACCTCACAACAATATACGCACTTCATCTACCTTTGCCGCTGATGCAAAAAACTGGCTGCAGAAGGTGTTCAACAGCCACTCCTTACAACCAACAGCGCACCTGACAAGTCCAAGACCCTTATGTTTGATAGTGATTGCAACTCCCGTGCGACATGCCGGACGCCAACATCCGTGAGACCAGTTTCCTTGAAGTAAAGGGCTGTCATGCTGATTAGCTGCTGGCCGGTCAGAGCCGTTATGCCGTTATCGCCAATATGGTTCCCTGCATTGCAAATACTGGAACCTCACCACAATATACGCACTTCATCTACCTTTGCCGCTGATGCAAAAAACTGGCTGCAGAAGGTGTTCAGCAGCCACTCCTTACAACCAACAGCGCACCTGACAAGTCCAAGACCTTGAGGAAGGGCAGAGCCGGGGCGAAGTCCCTCATGCCAATATCCGTGAGGCCAATTTTCCTGATGTAAACGGTTTCAACGGCTTTGAGCTTGCCGCCCCTGAGGGCGCTCGCCAGACACGCTATGCCCTCGTTGCCAACGAGGGGGTTACCTGGAATGCAAGCCCTTATGATTATTACCAAAAGTACGCTTGGACGGAGCAGCAAATGAATGGAAACAGACACACTACACGTATGTCAAACTTTAGTGGCATCCATGCACAATTTGGTCACAAAGTAATGCCCGTGCTTTGCCTGCATGTTCAGTAGGATAAAGGACTGCACGTAAGTTAACCAATGTCCCAATACATGTATCACCCCCTGCAACAAGCTTACTTGAAAGATCAAGTGTTCGGATGTCAGTCGGGCCAAGCTCTAGCATCTTAATGAGTGAGGGAATGTGTTTTGAGACAAGTCCCTTCCTAGCGAGGTTGACATCAGCTTCCTTCCACGGGTATCCCTCCGCATCCTCGGGGTTGAGCAGTAGCAACTCCACGAGGTCCTTCTGCAGTTTCGCACCAGATAAGCAACTAGTTACATACTACTTACATACGTAAATGCGTGGGAAACAAGGGGGTAACGAGGAAGGCATGTTACCCCTTGCTGAGTGCAAACAGAGCGTATAGGAAACGCACAGTATGCTTGTGAAGAGGAGAAAGTAAGGTACGGTGTTACTGAGGGCACCCTTCCGTTGACACAAGCACCCTTCTATGGCGTCCTTTCATGTCAACGGCAGGACAACATAGACTGACACATCTCACCTCCGCCCTTTTATCCAAATCAATCCGCTTCCATGCAGCCACGACATCTATTAAGCCCTTGTCACTCAGTGATTGCTTGTTGTCCACTGATTGGTTATCAGTCTGGTCGCCAAAGCCCAGGGCTGCCTGAGCCTGTGGTATGCACAGATACCAGCCACAAAGGCGGACTTGACTGTGACAAGGGTTTAAGCTCACCCTTTATACATCAGCGTGTATAAACGCCTAGTCAATCCATCAGGACAAAATTCGTCAGTTATAGAAAGTTAGCTAGGTTTGAAAGACACAATCCTCTAGCTGCAGTGCTTGTGTCTTTACTTGCCTCACGCGTCAACGTGTTTGTGTAGCACATTAGGCTTGCACCACGCTTGGCCATTGCCATGATGAGTTCAAGATTGATGACCTCCACGGGAGCATCATCTGGGTGAATTGTCCTTGGATCAGTGGCGCCATCAACTTCATCAGGGTCTTGCTTGACAACGTTTTGGATGATGCCCAGGCCACCAGACAGAACTCGTGGGTTTATCCTCAGGGCCTCAGTGAGATATTCTAAACCTTTGCGCGTTAACGGCACACCCACGATGTTGAGCACGTCCAAACCGTCATGGCGCCCTAAAGCATCTGACAGGTGCTTCATGCCACTCTCACCAATGTCATGATTGCCTGCGTGCAAAATCCATGGCGCTTAGAGCTCGATAGGACAACAACGTTGGGGAAGACTAGACATAACTACATACCTAGTTACAATGGTTGTTGGCATGCACATACATTCATAGTTTGATGGTGGGAGGCGACCACAGGGAATGAGTTCAATTTGATGATACGATTCCAAGTTGGTTATCCCTCTTTCGTTTTCTTGGAGAAAGGCTTCTGGACAGATATCAGGGGATTAAGGTGTAGGGTCCGTTGGTATGGAAGATAATCCACCCACGCACACTGCATGGAGTAACGTGTGCATGACAACCCCATATCTACCCACAAACACATAAAATATAAGTCCCAACCAGCAGGTAGGTGCCGCCGCCACACAGAACTCGCCTGATAAGGTTAAGCTCTTGACTTGATCACTGATCTGAAGCATCTTGCCCAAAGACTCCATGTGCTTATCTCCAAGCTTCGTGTTCGAAAAATCAACTTCGACACCTTTCAGTGGGAACCGCTTCATGTGCTCCGGGTAGTCCCTCAGAAGATGCTTGGTTGCATCCTGTGTAGTTAAGTAGAACAAGAGCAAGCAGTTGGGATAGGTTCTCATGTGAACCGCGAGTGTGTAGGTAAATTATCTGCAGATTATATTCTAACCCATTTGAACTGGCCAAGAAACGCTAAGAGTTCCTGGTAGTTGTGAGTACGGTGTATTGGGCATCTCTGCCGTACAACTGCAGCTCAAAGGCCGCGCAGCCCTGTGACTCGGGGCTGTGCATGTCTAACAACAAATGCAAGCAGTAACGATGGTGTTGGTTCGCCACCTGTCGTGGCCCTGCTAGCTGGTCACCAGCTTGCATGCGATGTAGTGTGTCGCCAATTCTTACTTATGCCAGTGCTATCAGATAGCCGCCAACAGGAACCTAAGATGACCGTAATAGTTCGGAGCAGCTCCTGAACTACACACACGGTTTAGGTGCGCCCCCTTTCTGTCACAGGCAGGAAGAGAGATTGGGGCCCAAGAATGCGGACCTCGGTGACACTAGGTGATCAGGCTGGTGTATGGGCGCGGCTACTTGATGTGTCTTGCTGGCACCAGACTAGGCCATATACACTCTTATCTATGGGGGGTAATGTATGCTAGGACGTGTCTGGCTGGGAAACGGCTTTGTTGAGACCCGCTTTATCCTCATATTTGCATGCTTACTGTGTGCTGGAACTCTTCTGTATTGGCCCCGCAGCCACTTGGGGCTAATCCTGGCTAAGCTCGGACAATACTGGTTAAGAAGGGCTAACCACAGTGTAAGCAAAAATGGCGTTAGGTCCATATTAGCATGCTAAGATGGAGCTTAACCCAGACAAGGGGGTTCAGCTGCCTCAAAGCTGGAAAAGGGTGGAGCCCCTCCTGTTGAGTACAGGAACGTAACACTGGAATGGCACGGAGTGTGCTCCTGTGACTCCATGGCCAGTTGACGTAACACACCTTCTTACACGGACGCTGAACCCCATTGCTTACTGTACGCGGACGCGGACACTGAACCCCCTTGTTTACTGTAGTTGGAGTGTTCGTTGCATGGCTAGACGACCTCAGAGCCCCTTGTCCAGGCGAGGCCGGCCGCCATGGTGTACATAGTGTCCTCGCTCATTGCAATCATTGTTAGGTTACACCTGTTTAATGGAGTACTCAGTAACATCTTATCATGCTCGATAACACCCACGCATTAGGCTACAGAACCCAAATCGACGGCGAAACTGCCACATGGGAGAGCTTTCAGGGTCCCGCAGGTCGTTTAGGTTTCACCTACATTACTAAAATGATGAGGAGGTCAGGCTCAGCAATGTCGGCATCGTGCTCTTAAGGACTTCGGCAATTGCACCGGAACATCGCGATTAGCTTCTAGGCGAGGTACCTGTTTGCGTTACAGTTCATAGGCATTATGGCGCGCAAACGAATAGCAAAGGCCGGCAACATCGTCTCAAAGGATTGTGTGGGCTCAGCGTAGCACAATCGATGAACACAAGCATGCTCCTGCCGGCTTTCAAAAGTAGCCCTTTACCGGCACGCCGCTGTTACCAGTTCACTAAATACTGTTTACGGTACCAGGACACACCAAAGAGGAGCGCTAATCGGTGTTGCCGAGGTGGTCCTTTTCGATGGCTGGTCAATAAATTGTTTATTGCGAAATCATGTTTGTTTGGCTTCCAGTTATTTTTACTATATACAAATAACAAATATCTATTAGGTGCAATTTATAGTTTGCCTAGTTTATATGTTTTGACGTTACGGACACACGGACGGACGGACGGACACACGGACAGGGGCAATCCTGGGGGGCTCGCCCCCCCGAAGCCGCTTCACGGCGGGGGCTCCGCCCAAAAACGCGTGCTAAGAATGACTTTAACCAAGGTTAGCATCGGACTTGCCTTGTCTGTTCTTAACCCTGTACACGCTTGGTAGACGGGGATGGCTCCCAGTAGATACACAGGAAGGTCCTCACCCGGGTTGTGGGCTATGAGAATGCTCGCAATTAAGCCCAGGATTGTGGGCTCTGAGCATGCTCGCATATAAGCCCAGGATTTTGGGCTCTGAGCATGCTCGGAGCACATTTAGAGCCCATGGCCAGGGCTCCATGTGCAAGGCACGCATTTCAAGGCATGTAACCACCCATTCTGGGCCGGGACATAGCTGCCTGCTGGGAGAGCAGTAACACGTTCAAACTGGGTCATAATGGATAGCCATGCATTAAGGGTCATTGTGCATGCCATTTAAAGCGGAATTCTTGCTACTTACTTCCAAGCATGCTCAGAGCCCGGGTTCAGGGTGTGTCATGAGACCTTAACCGGGAGTACAGTAACATGTTCAAACTGGGCCGTGATGTATAGCCATATATTAAGCCTATTTGTGCATGCTATAAAAAGCGAAAATCTCGCTACTTATTTCCGAGCATGCTCAGAGCCTAAAATCTTGGGTGTTACTGCGAGCTCTACTGCTCAGAGCCCACAATCCAGGCGCGGACCTTATTCAGATACGAGCATGGTCCCGCCGACTTTCACAGGTCTTCGTTATTTGACACGTCACTGTTACCAATCCACTCTATACAAGTTACGGTACCAGTGAAACGTATAACAGGAGCGGTAATAATCAGTATGGCCGTGATCTGTCAGGAATCGTTTGTTGCAAATGAATTTGGTTGGACCTGCAGATGTGTCTGGTTTGTATGGTTTTTGGGCGGAGCCCCCGCCACAAAGCGGCTTCAGGGGGGCTTCCCTGCTGGGTTGGTCCATTTCCGGTAGTACGAATGGTTGGCTATGCTGCTGTTGAGCTACACCTGCCGTCTTTTATGCGGTTTCATTCCACCTTTCACGTGTCTTTGGTGCGCCCATACCGTAAAGCTGACGAGTCCTCCCCAAATTTAATATAGGAACCGGGACCGGTTAACTGGATTTACAATGAACCCCAGTACTCAGTTGAGCGCATCCTGGATTACAGGCTCCGTCACGTCCCTTCTGGTCGGCGCCATCGTAATGCACGAGTACTTGGTCAATTGGCTTGGTCAAGTAAGTGGCTTGGTTACTCGTCTGAGCACAACAGTTGGGAGCCTGCTGGCACTCTACCCCGGATCTGAAGCCTCTGCTGGATGAGGTTCGACTGCAGACTCAAGGGGCAGCGAGGAAGCTGCTGCGAGAAGGGGGATTGTTGTTGTATTGCACTCTCTACTTAGTGTAATCTGTGTAGCTGCTGTGGCTATTAGTCTTCCTGCTGCGGGCTTTGCGTAGCTATAGCCGGGTTAACTTGCGTACTGGGTGAATTTTGGCATGGTGGTGTACGACACCATGACGGCAGCCCGAGTCCTCAGGGCTGCTTAAGCTTCGCGTGTAAGTCGGTTGCTTTATCTTGTTTTGTTGTTCAGTGACTGCTGTATGTAAGACACCGTAAACCCGTTAGTGTTGACGGTATTCTCGTAATGTTATGGGAATGGGACTGTTTCTGTAACAGTTGAGACACTGGTCTCTAGTGCTTAATTGCCTACCGATTGCCATACTTAAATGTTATGTCTGTTCGAGACTCTACAACTTCAAGATCTGTACGAAAACCTTCGAGTCGTCTACTTTGGGCTTTGCCCACCTCAATCGGGAGTTATCACTACCACCAACTTTATGGATATTGTAAATTGGATACCAGAGCTGGTATCAAGACCTTGTGTGGTGCACACCCATCCTCCTAAAAACGGCAGGCACCTGTGACATCAAGCTGTTGCACCCGATGAACATTACTGCCAGTTCACATGGAATGGGAAGGGAGTACACCTTTTACCTTCCAGAAACCCCCGATAACAACAGATGACAACTAACCGCAACCCCTATCCGTCACTATCTCCTCCATAAGGTCAACGCCTTGCCACCGCCTAACCCTGGCCTAACTTCAACTTAGTTCCGGTTACACCAACCGCAAGCAACACGTACGGCAACCCAACTGTATGGGCCCTGCCGCCCACAACAGACAGCCAACGGTTAACACTCGCAATGCCATCGGCACCCAGACAAGCTCACAACGTCCTCAAACGTCTATCAACGTCTATCTGTTAACATCTCCGCGCTCCGGTCCACAGCTTTGACAGAGTGGGTTGTTGGCAAGGTTTTGAGTATAGTTGCCATGGCAATCTGCCACATGACAAGGGACGGATGATGATGAAAACTAAAGGGAAAATCAGTAGGTTTGACGCGTTGCCGTAGAAGGGCGGCAAAGTAGCATATCCAGGCGGTCTTAGCAACCGTGATTTTTGGGCAGAGCCCCCGCCGTGAAGCGGCTTCAGGGCATCTTACCGCCTGGGTAATCATTATAGTACCGGACTGTTGTTCTGCGCCTTCTACAGCTACTAGAAGCAGCCATGGCGCTCTAACTGGACCTCCGAAAACCTTCGCTTCAGTTGTAGTAATATTCAGCAGCCCAAAACAACAGTAACACATGCAACAGTGATACAACGCTGCTCCATGGCGCCTTACAAAAGCTCGACCCGGCTCCGAAAACAAGCGGACAGCAGGACAGCCGGACACATCCCACCAACCACCATATACGGTTGGCCCCAACCGCACACACGGACAGCCGGCCGCACGGACGCTCATCATCACCCAGCGGATTGCCCCTGTCCGTGTGTCCATAACATCAAAACATACAAACTAGACAAAAATATTAATTGCACCTAATAGTTGTTTGTTCGCTGTATTCAGTAAAAATAACTGCAAGGCAAACCAACTTGATTTCACAATAAACAAATTATTGACCAGCCACTAGGAGCAAAAATGCCGTTTTGGGCCAACTGAAACCCCTAGGCTACCAGTAACCTGAGCTTGAATTTAATGTTTGTGCAGCACAGGCGCATACGCATAAGCTGTGTTAGCCTTGTAGCCTAGTGGCTAGCCATGTGAAAGTGGCGAGCCAACATTAGCCAACCATCGGAAAGCCTATCGGTGAAAATTGCACCGAACTCTGCACTGAGACCCCTACTGCGCCATTCTGCGCTTCCCGGCATTTCGCTTGGGCTTTTTCTGACATATATACGCCTTATGCTTGTGCGCGTAAGGAAGCGTACACGCATGGGCCGCCGATGCCCAGTTCAATTTCTGGCCAGTAAGTCCGGACGTCCAAAGCCAAATGTCACCATTCTGCTCATGTACAGATCCGGCTTGTTAGGCACATTTCCATTGTTACCTCCTGGCCAAGGCCCCATCCCGGTCCGAAAGTCAGCGCCCCAGACACTTTGTGAATTTGCCCCAATAAGTAGTCAAGAGATAAAGAAGAATTCCTTGTAAGCTTTCCAGGAGGCGCCTGTGTAGACAGGGCCAGTCAAACTTTTCACCGGCTTCATACTGCATTCCACCAACGGCCGAAGGCCGGCCCAAGCGCTCAGATTTCGCAGAGCTTAGAGTAATTGCAACCCATTACTCCTTGTCAATATGCCTACTTATAGGCAAAAGTCGGATTCCATTCGCTGCGCTTTAGGCACTTTTCCATCTCGGTCAATTGGGGCAAGGCCATAAGTCAGAGCGCCATTTCTGCTCCTAGCGAGCCATTGAAAAGGACCACCTCGGCAACACCAATTAGCGCGCCTATATGGTGTGTCCTGGTACCGTAAATAGTATTTAGTGTACCCTAACAATGTTCCTGTACTGAAGAGGAGGGGCTCCGCCCTTATCCAGCTTTGAGGAAGCTGAACCCCCTTGTCGTTCCTGACACATGGATACACGGACAGGAGCACTCCGTTGGGTGATGAAGAGCGTCTGGCTGTCCGGGTGTGCAGTTGGGGGCAACCTTGGTGATTGGTGGGATGTGCCCGGCAGCTCCGGCTGTCCACTTGTTTTCGGAGCCACATCACAGCGGGGGTTCCGCCCAAAACGTCATTTATAGGTGCATACAAAACCTTTGCACTTTGAATGAGTTTCAAACTTGCTGCCTGACTCCAGTGGAGGTGAGTTGCAAGTTTTACCAAAAGAACATTAAGCGCTTATTGATATCTATATGGTAATGTTACATCCACCTTGCTCCTTAACCTCGCTTTTCATAAGAACCCTATTCCCCCCCCCCCGAGGGTGTTATCATTTTTTGGAATCCAGTATTCGACTGCTCAACTCGCGCCAGTGAGGGAAAGGAAACCACCGGTTGCCTTTATGCCGTGTCCTGTATACTTTGACGCGATGGTGTAGTTATGCTGGGCCCCAGCAGCTCCAAACGCGTTCGCCGCTCAATGGGCGGTTCGCCTCGGGTGCAAAAACGTACATGGCCCGCCCCCCCGCCCTTACACTGAGCATAAGCCTATTGAGTGGCGCTAGCTTTGCGATGCCTGCTTGCACTTTGGCAAATGGGTCCCTAACATGGTCGCCAACATTGCTGTCCTCAAGCCAACAGTTCCTTCAAAAGAGTACTTCTATAGGCAAAGCCTTTAGAGTTATTGTACTTCACGTGATTTTGTGACCCAGGAAAATTGTCGTCACGACTTTCAGCGCAATGTGAACTGCATTTGCATGCTGCGATACGCCTACCTAAGAACGAATTCAACACAGCTTTATTAATCGGCATACGTATGCGCAAGGAAAGCATGCATACTTGAAAAGCGAACCAAGTTTGTTGTCCGTTAGTGTCTGGGAAAACTATTGCAGACACACGCGGACACGAAGGCACTCTTATAGAATGCTCTTCAATAAAGAACTGTACTCCGTATACAATAACGTGTTCAAGAGGTGAGACGCGCGAACAACACGCGTGCGACCCAACCTAGTGTTGCTAACATTGAACTCTGGTGCAACCCCTTCTACTTTTACTGCCATATCCGACAAGCCGTTACTTACATTCTTTGAAGCAGTGCTTTCGTGACGCAAGCTAGTTACCTGACTCGCAATGGAGAACGGAGCACCAGTAGTTGCACATGTGCAATGCGTGTGTTCTTCGCGCACATGGGCCGAGGAGCGATAATCGCAACGTGCGGCTACCGTGGGAGACCGTTGCCACTTGTAAATGTGCACGTTTGATGGATGGCCACCCGTTGCTCCTGCCCATCAACAAGGGGGTTCAGCTTCCTCAAAGCTGGAAAAGGGCGGAGCCCCTCCTATTGAGTACAGGAACGTATTATTACCACTGGAATGAATGCGATTAGTACAGGGGAGTCCGAACGACTCAGGGCCTTATAGACCTGGAATGGCACGGCATGCGCTCCTGTGACTCCACGGACCAGTTGACTTAACACACCTTGTTATACGGACGCTGAACCCCCTTGTTTACTTTAGTTAGAGTGTTCGTTGCATGGCTAGACGAGCTTAGAGCCCCTTGTCCAGCCGAGGCCGGCCGCCATGGCGTACGTAGTGTCCTCACTCATTGCACTCATTGTTAGGTTACACCTGTTCAATCGAGTACTCAGTAATGTCTTATCATGCTTGATAACACCCACGCATTAGGCTACAGAACCCAAATCGACGGCGTATCTGCCACATGGGAGTGCTTTTCAGGGTCCCCCAGGTCGTTTAGGTTTCGCCTACGTTACTAACATGAGGAGGAGGTCAGGCTCGGCAATGTCGGCATCGTGCTCCTAAGGACTTCGGCAATTGCACCGGAACATCGCTGTTATCTTCTAGGCGAGGTACCTGTTTGCGTTACAGTTCATAGGCATTATGGCGCAGAAACGAATAACAAAGGCCGGCAACATCGTCTCAAAGGAGGTGGGCTCAGCGTAGCACAGTCGATGCACGCAAGCATGCTCTCGCCGACTTTCACAGGTAGCCCTTTGGCGACACGCCGCTGTTTCCAATTCATTAAATACTGTTTACGGTACCAGGACAAACCATAGAGGAGCGCTAATCGGTGTTGCCGCGGTGGTCCTTTTGAATGGCTGGTCAATAAATCGTTTGTTGCGAAATTAAGTTTGTTTGGCCTCCAGTTATTTTTACTGAATACAGATAACAAATATCTATTAGGTGCAATAAATAGTTTTGTCTAGTTTGTATGTTTTGCCGTTACGGACACACGGACGGACACACGGACGGACACATGGACAGGGGCAATCCTGGGGGGCGAAGCCCCCCCGAAGCCGCTTCGCGGCGGGGGCTCCGCCCAAAAAGGGAACAACATTGATTAAGCATGCACAATGGCTGTTCTTGATGCACATGAGCCGATCAGCGATAATGGAAACGTGCGCTACCATGGGAGACATCGCCACGTGTGGTTGTGCACGGTTGATGGATGGCCACCCGTTTCTGCTGTCCATCAAAAGGGAACAGCATCAATTGCGCATTCATGATGTTGCTGTTCTTGCTGCATATACACCATTCGATATGCGTATGCTCAGTGTAAGGGCGGGGGGGCGGGCCATGTACGTTTTTTGCACGTGGAGCCGCTGGGGCCGGCATAACTACGCCACACGGCGTAAAGGCAACCAGTGGATTTCCGAGGAACAGCAGCGCTTGCCTTCCTTACTACTGCTGTTCTTTGCCCTAAGCATAGACGTATAGAAGCAAGCATCGTTAACAACTGGCCAGCGTGCGGGTGCCCAGCACTTCGTCAGGGGGGGAAGAATTCACCGCCCCCCCGCTGACACACCCAGGATTAGTCGAGGGGGGGGGCTCGCTGTAAGTCCCAAGTCGTTTCGGCCCCGTGGTTCCCTAAAAACCTATTATTATCTTTGGTCAACCCTCCATGCTGCATGCCCACAGGGACATGACGGAATCATCAGCAGTGTGGAATGGGGCCCGGGTATCCAATGACAAGACCATCCGGCTATGGGATGCAGGCAGCGGCAAATGCACTCCACCTTGAAGGTGAGCCAAAAGGCATGGCAACCAGCAGGCATGGTAAAGCAGCCTACACCCAAGAAGTACCATGCAAAACTGCGGTGATGTCTTCTGTTTGGATAGCTTGTCAATAAGAGGTAGTGGTAGGTTCCTACAGGCCAAAACATGGATCAGATGGCACTCTTCGTGTTCTCAATGCCGGCACCCCGTATTGTAAGTGGTAATATTGCGTACACACAGAGCATTTAAAATGGACAAATGGCAATAACCAAGAAAAGACATTACATTATGTAAGGAAGAGGAACGCCATACATCTGAGAAGTCCTTAGCTGCAGTTGTTCAAATGAACACCATACCTGGTCTACTTCGTAAGCCCACTGGTCATCAGATGCAGCAGCGATGGCAGCAGCAGTAGGGGGGGGAGGGCCGGTCCACGGCACGACTGCAGATGATGGTGATGGCGACTGGCTGCGAAGATAGGCGCAAACATCTTCCCACGAGAAGATCTCCACAAGCAATGTCAAAGAAGCAACCGTTGGTTGGCTACCGCTGACAGTTGGCTTGTGCTTGGAAAACATTCCGAAATTGACCAGATATAATAATAACTGGCGAGCTGTCCACTTGCTAAGCGTAGGACTCCAATCACCAAGGATACCCAGCCCAGCATCAGCACATATGAGTGCCTCCCACTTCTTGTCGATGCCAACCTCCTCAGTATGTAGCCTCTGAAACACATCCATTTTTGTTGTCCTCGCCCGAGTGCGCCAGTAGTGGTCTTCAATTGAATCAGAAATTTTGCGCTTATAGTGTACATGCTCATTATCCCGATACTCAATGTTCATTGCGATGCAAACTCGGCTGCTGCTGCCATGCCATAGCTCCAAGAAGGTCTTCAGCATGACAGTGTCGAGGGTAGCGAGGAATGATAGAACCACCACGTTGAGGATGGCACTGAGCAGGTTGGGGTCGGGTAGTGATTCATTGACATCATTGGACCGGTAGAGGGCAACATAGACTGACATACCAACTAGGGCTAAGGGCTGAAGGGTGTCAATAAAAATTGATGACCAGCAGAACCAAAGATACAGCCTTTTCCAGCCAGCCCAGGTTTGACGTGGGGCATCGTGTTGGTTACTGCTGTCAGTGTTGGCATCCTGGACAGAGTCGGTGGTGTAGGGTGGTGATGAGGTATAATAGCTAGGCCGGATCCAACAAATAACACGCTTTTTATAGTTGTGCAGCCAAGTTAGTAATCTGCTTTGAAGTGGACTGAAGCATTGGCTACCACAGGCAACAGAGGCAGCTTTGGCAGGTGGGGAGCTGTTGGCAGAGCCTGTGCTGTCGGCCAGCGATGATGTTGTATAGCCAGGCTGCTGGAGCTTGCAAATAAAACGCCATAAGTAGCACAGCCCCTTGATTGACTTGTATATGGTCATCAAAATGGGGACCACCTGGAGGAATAGGACACTGATAATCACAACCCACCTGCAAATACAGTGCAAGGCAGCCAAGGGAAACAAGAAGTTCTTGTTAGGGTATGCTGCTGGGCTGGGTGAAGCGCTGGTGGTATTTCACACTCTCCTTGGCCCCTGCTGTCCATGCACGTCTTTTTATGCATAACACGTGCTGCTACTTTCGAGCGTCTACCGTACCTAAGCTAACATGTATATAGCTTATTGGCCCGGTTTTTGGCCAGCCCTTGATTCCAGGCGCTCTGCTAGGCCGCGGCTTGGAAGCATGGGAACAGCTATAGGGATACCCCGGCGCCTTCCTAAAAACGTTTCTCTGAAACCAACTGGAAGTAGCCCAGTAAGCAGCATGCGCGACATGGCTATTTGTAATTTTATAATTATAGAGACATGGCTATTTGCAATGTTGCATGGAGATAAGCAAAGCAACCAGGCACACGACACATGGGCCTGCTATGAGATCGCTTTGGTCTGGTTGGTAGTATGCAAAGTAAGTGCAAGCTGGCCTACCAGCGGGCGGTAAGAGGTTTTCTTATAAACCCCAACCCAAAATTTCCATAAGAAGGCCTCGGAGCCACCCACCCACCATAACTGGAAGCCAAACAAACTTCGCAATAAAACAATATATTGACCAGCCATCGAAAAGGACCACCTGCAACACCGATTAGCGCTCCTCTTTGGTGTGTCCTGGTACCGAAAGCAGTATTTAGTGAATTGGTAACAGCGGCGTGCCGGCTAAGGGCTACTTGTGAAAGCCGGCTGGAGCATGCTCGCATCTACTGTGCTACTCAGAGCCCACACAATCCTTTGTGACGATGTTGCCAGCCTTTGCTATGGGTTTGTGCGTATGAACTGTAACGCAAACGGGTAAGGGGCACCTCGCTTACAAGCTAACATGCCATGTGACGGCGCAATGGCTGAAGTCCTTCTGAGCACGATGCCGAGATTGCCGAGCCTGACCTCCTCATCATGTTAGTAATGTAGGTGAAACCCTAACGACCTGCGGGACCCTGAAAGCACACCCTACGTCCGTAACAAAACCTGCCTGCCTGCCGGCACCGTAGTTGCACTAATGTTCTTACAATATAATTAATTATTTCAGACGGTAAAATTTTTCTAGAAAAGTATAGCCTTCCCAGTAAAAAGCATTAAACGTTTTCCAGAAACTCAGGGGATTGCGGTAAAAGTGGAGGAGAGGCCGGCTGGGCGGGGCGGGGTGCGTGGGATGGACAGGCGGGGGGGTTTAGACATGGCTAGGCAGTATGGGGTTTGGAAGGCGGTGCTCGAGATCATGGCCTGAGACCAAGGCGTTTAGGGATCCCCTGACTCAAACACCCTCCCAAACCTTCGTCTGTTGCCCCCATGCGCTTCCGGCCTTCACCTGTGGTAATTGGGGTTGGGTTACAGTGTTCCTGGGAGGCCCCCAAGGTCAACGCTAGCCACTACGGGACCGGTAAATTGTTTTGAGTGCCGGTGTAAACCTCTGGACCTGCCGTAAGAAACTTCATGTTGTAAACATATTGGAAAATAATTTTGCTTACGCAAAACCTCTAAAAGAGAAAACACTAGTGCAGCTACGGTATCTGCTATGGGACAAGTCGTGTTCACCAACACCCACAACGGGCAGTGATAATAATGCATTACAACTCAAGATCTGCAGCCTGTCTACTGTAACTGCCCTGCCACATAAAATATCGCATGTGTATGGCCCCCCCTGCTGCCGTGCAAAGGTGGTCCCTGCATCTAACACTGACCTAAATACGAGTTCAACACATTTGTGGTTGAAATACACCACCCTATGTCTGCCCCTGCTCTCCCTACATGCACGCCAACTTCGTTGAACGTGGAGCCTGTACAGGTTAATTGACCCAGCCCCGCCTTCACTAGTAAGCAATTTTGTCCATTTACTAAGTTCGTGTTCACTTTCTTGTCCATTTGGGAACTAGACGGCTCAATCTGGGCTACTGTGGTCCAATGCTGATGTGTCTTGGGACCCTTAAAGAGCCGTGCCCCTTATTTTGATCCAAGTATATAACAAATGATTGGGAATGTCCTCATGCCAACATGCTGCAGCGTAAAGAACAACTAAAAACTGGAAGCACACCCGGAGTCCCCACACAACATGACATCAATTTGATTGGGCGGTCCGTTTTTGCATTGAGGACTTACTCTGTTCTCCTTGCAGCACTTGTACGAGGGTATATCTCCACATCCTCACCAAAACGTGTTCTTTCCAGCCATAGCGTAAACAGGCCAGCAATGAGCCATACCAATGACGTGGACACCAGCTGCACAACGACAGACTTCCAGTCAGCCGCCATCAAGAAGAACTGTGATATGGCATCATCACAAGCAATGGGAATGGTGAAGGCGACGGAGGGCTGATCCCAGTCGCCTCTCTCAGCCGGAAGCCCTGCTGTGCAAAATGAAGGGACAGAGATCAACAAATACATAACATTGCCATAGCCCCATATATCTTTAGGAGGTACTTTATTGCGTAGGCAGCGAAGTAGCCAGCGAATCCCTCAGAAAGATAAGTGCCTAAACCGTGAAGGTTCACTCGCAACAAAGACAGTTCGTAACCTGCTTGTATCCCACCCTTTGCACTCACCGCTGCCTTTGTTGCTCTGAACACTATTTTCGTCGACCTGCTTCTGTGCATTCTCGACGTCTACAGGTAGGGGTTCAGGAAGCATGTCTAGTATATAGTACGCCTCCATGGGAATGGCATGGTTGGGAAAAGCATCAAGGACGAAAAATAAGAGGGTGGGTATCATATAGACGCACCAGCGCGGCAATGGAAACATGCTAGGAAATGTGCTAAAAGGACCATGCCGGGGAAATGCTGGTGAAAGCAGCACGAAGGTGAGCCCACAGATGTTAAGCTCGTTCATGCCAAGAGTGCTTGGGGGTCTGGAAGTTGCAAGTGGGGCCGCCATACAATACCGGTAGTATAGTTGCAGCGTTTGCAACATGACATTGACATACGCTTATAACTCGAGGTGGAGGCCAAGGACAGGGACCTAGCTAGGGGGAACCTCGGCCCTGCTGGGGCTCGAGCAGCAGGCCCATGGGGTGACTCCAGAAAGGGGTGCGGAATCAGAGGAAATGCTGTGGAATGGGCGGCAGTGCGGAGGGGTCGAGTACAGAGGCTGTTCCAGTCGTGAGGTTAATGGCGGGGATGGTGGCAACATCTGGCATGGAGGGTGTTTGCAGTGGCCGGATGGGCGTTAATTGTGGCGGAACTTAGGGTGGAGCGGAGGTGAGGGTGGGCGGACCGGTGGGATTTATAGGAGGAGGGGGTATTACCGTACCTGTGTCTGATCACCGTGCAGCCATTTAAATAGTACTGTATTAGCCTAAAGCTTACGTTAGGAAGACCGGAGAGCAGAGCATTGGAAATGCAGATACTTAAAGCTACGGTTCACATCGGATGAGAGAGGAGGTGTATGTAGGTATGGATGGGGCCAGTGAAACCCGAAATTTCGGGTCAGCGCACAATGGGGGCCACGCCATGGGCAATGTATTAGTTAATGCGCAGTCCTTTACTAACACGCAGGCCCCGGACCGATTTTTTTATTTAGGTTTCTTTTGTTCGATGATCACTGGGAGTTACAGTGGAAAGGGGGGGCGGGGGTAAAAGAGCATACTGACGAGGGGGCGGGTGGGTGAAGGCCAGAGCATGACAGGAGTGGTGGCGGAAAGGGTGTTGATGGCAGCTGGGTCAGTGGAGATAGTGGGATAGAGGATGGTATCCGTAGGAAAAGGAGGGTCCTTGTGTGGGGGTACTTGTGTGGGGGTACTCCAGCACGAAGATGATGCCGACGCACAAAGGAAGAGAATACAAAGGTGCGCCAAAGCGCTTGAACTTCCAACTAGGTAGGGGGCCATCGCTAGGGGAATTGGAGAGTATAACAGGGTCCACAGTGGGCTGAGAACGCTGCTGTCAGTGTTAAAGTGTTCGCTTATGCAGCCGGTGGTATAATTAATTAACATATGCGGAGTACGGATGGCGGAGGACACTGAGGAAGTGCTTGAGGTGGCCATCCGGAGGGACACGATGGCGTAGAAGACTCCAGGCCGAAAGTGCGTCATGGATAAGGGCAACGATGATAATCAGTTAAGAACTGTACGTTAGGGGCCGTTTACATATGCGCGGAACTAAAATCGAATAAGGCAGAAACCTTTCTGTCGCATAGAACTCCCGACCTTTCAAGGATTGGGAGCGTGATCAAAATCCTACACGTAGCTGAAATTGCGGAGTCTGGAGGTGCATGCGGGTCACGCATATGTAAACGGTTCCTTAGCATGGAATACGTGATGGGTGAGAGATTGATAGCAGATGGTAGCGTCATTAACTTGACACTCGTGTTCGCTGTTTAGGGCCCTCCACAACCACTGAGTGGGCACACACAAATTTTCTGAGAATGGCCCCACTAAATGTTTTTTGGGCGGAGCGCCTGCCGTGAAGCGAACCTGTACACCCCGCCCCTGTGCCAGCAGGCCATCTCTCACCCAAGGTGGCCGGCGCCGTTTCCTATTGATACCATGCTAGAATGGCATTAACATGGCTGGACGTACTTATCTACAGTTGCCATGGGGATTCAAGGGTCGGTAACACCCAGCGGAAACTATGTCATATGCAAGGGCCATTCCTTCAAAGCTGGTGTGGTGTGGAGGGACGGCTGGCGGACTTGTCGTGTAGTTCGCTTACGTTGTCCTGCTCAACCCCAGCTAGATCCCCGGTACTTCGTGTCGCAGGGATTTCACCTCATGCCAATGTCATACACGTGACTAACATACCGGCGCTATTTACGCTTTTCCTCATAAAGCAAGCTTGATCTGCAACCTTGTCTCCCCGGCCGGAGCTTCCTCTCCATGCCCAAGCAGCCATGGGAAGTGAAGCATACGAAAACCCCGAATGGGCCCCCCAACCCCGTCCCTTACTGTCCCTCCATTCGGCATCACATCGTAGAAACAGAAGGAACAGAAACCTTTAGTGTCCCCCACCTCGCCCCACCCTGGGATTGGGACTCCAGCCGCTGCGCTATTCATTTTACATTGCCCCACCAGGGGGGGTCAGAAATTGCAAAAATAGACCCCCAAGATTCAAACTAGAGGTGCTTAGCGTGGGGACTTCGACTCCGCTTAGGCCTCAGATTAGAGTTTTAAAAGCTTTATTGTAATCCTTCTTCACTTCTTATGTATAGAACAAGTTACAACAACAAATGGTACAATTCTCAGCTGAACTACAGTAGCCCTGATGGAACCGCCTGATTTCCAATTTGCCCTAACGAAAGATACAACGTTTAGAGAAAGAAGTAGATGCGGAGGTCGCGAACACGGCTAGTTGTGTGCACCGCATGTGCCACCAATCATGTCACGAAGGTCGTGTGAAGCTACAACGACCCGGATCACCTGCAGCACGCCACCCTGAGGAACAGCTGACGGAGCTGTACAGAGTTATCACTTATCAGGGACAAGCTCCACTCAGTTCTTCAGCGAGACAGTCACATGGCTGAGGGTCGCATTGCAGCACTCAAAAGCAGCAGCGGCTATGAAGGGGGATGCTTCACGGGTTCGGGGGGAGGGTGCTCGCGGGGGGGAGGTGCGGGTTTGTCGGGCACGGACGAAGGGGGTAGCAGGGGTAGCAGCAGCAGCAGCGGAGGGGGGAGTGGATGATGTGTATGCAGTGCAAGATGAAGCGGATGCGGGAAGTGGCGCCGGGGCGGGGTACTGGTCGAAGGCGTTGCACGACAGGGGGGAAGAGGAGGCAGGGGCCAGGGTCAGGAAGTGATGGTGGTGGTTTTCTGCCCGCCTCCCAAGGGGGTTCTTGTTTAGCATTTAATAGTTTAGCATACAATAGAGCTTAAGCAGAGGAGTCTGACGGCTTTTCTCCCGGCGGGCGTTTTAGTAAAGTTTACACATTGTATGACGCACTTTCTGTACAACAGAGGTGGATGGGTGGTCCTGGGGCCTACCCTTATAAATATTCATTATGAGGTTTATATATATCCTTACCCCCCCTGGTCCGGGTGCCAAAGTCCGAAAACCAGGGATGGAACTAGAATACGCCTCCCCAACTGCAACTCCCTCATGTTAGGCCACTTACCTGGTGCGATAACCACGCGAACATTGGCTGCGGTTCCTCTCTCAGCATCCGTTGCGACATTTGAATTATCAGTATGCACACCTATCACAGAACAAAGGAAAGGTACAACTGTCCGAGAATCCATGGGGGACGTGAAGTACAACAGGAGTAAAAACAGACTTGGAGATACTTGCAGTTCCACCTGGTTCAGAGCAATCAAGCGTCCACGGCCCCTTTGCCTAAGAAGGCCTCCTAAAGCGAGTGCGAGAGCTTTTGAACCCTTGGGACTAAAGGCAACACCAACCTCGCTCACCCTGCTCCTGGGTATCAGCGTTCAAGGCGCCTAACGCGCAGCAAAGACGGCGCCATAATAGGGACATCTATGATGAAGGCCGTCCGTAGCCGGTGTCCGTTGTGGAAAGGGAGCGACGCGGGGAAAGCGGAATGGTTGGCATCAGCATCAACGAACCTGGGCACTAAGCTCGGGCAACCATGTGAGGCAACAGAACGCCGCCAAGCTGCCTCGTGGAGGGACACATATTGTATGCTGCCCCTCGGACTAACCTGTTTCAGCAAAGTTTATGGCCGCCACATTACGAACCACACGTCGCCCACATTCCTACAACTAGGTTGTTCTCTCTTCACCAAATGTATATATTAACATGTTAAGGAATTGTCACCTATTACGAGATTGTTAGAAGATAATGATAATCGTAGCGCCCAGACACTATAAGTCTGCACTTACGGTGTAATGCAGCTAAGTCTCCGGGAAGCTTCTTCGCGGGGTTCGATACATCTTGTTACGGTGTTACCGTCAACACAAATGCGCCTCGTACGGAACTGTACCTAGCACGTGGTCATAGGCAACGGTTTCCTCTCTGTTCCCTTCTTGTGTTGTATCCTTTGTTTGTGCAGCGGTCCACGAGCCTCCTGGCTTGTCTGGGCATTACGAGCCCTTAGCTTGTAATCACCATCAAGCAACAGTACCAAGCATCCTTCTGGAGTGGAGCTACACTAAAGTAAAGGGCCCAGCTGGTTACACTAGCTAAAGAGCCATGCGACTGCATGGACTGTAACCGTTGTCACATGAAGCATGTCAGCCCTAGAAAGCGGCTTCTACCTTCCATGCACTTTTCTTCCTCATTCCACATTCTCATGGGACAAAATCCAAAAGAGGGAATCCAATTGGAAGATTCCGCAATGTGTAGGTGCCGTTCCCGGCAGATTGCTCAATGGACGGCTTCCATCACGTTGGAGCCCTTGGCAGCCAGCAGGGAAATGGCGCTGGCAGCGATGGTGGGAAGAGAGGGGACCGGGCTTTAGGCTGGGGACGTTGTGGCCATGGAGGCTTGAGGCAAGGGGCCGGGGCTGGGGCTTTTGGATTGGGTCTGACTGAGCGGGGTTTGAATGGGAGGATTTCTGCATGGGCGACGGTATGCAGAGTCGTCGTTCGTGGTCCGCATTTCGTGTTAGAAAGTCGAGTTTCGCCTGTATGTTGCAAAGGAAAGCATGAAACCTACTCTACCACCCTCCCGTCCCCCCACCCTCCCTCCCATCCGTCCCTCGCCTCACCCCTCCCAGGAGTCAGACCAGTACGGAAAGCAGCAGGAGTGGGTTGCCGTACTGTACTCTGGCACGTACTGATTACCGGGGAGCCCGTTCGCCTGCCGGTGCCGGCGAAGCAGCAGCCGCAGTGATGACCAGCAGACAGCGGCAGCACAGGAAGCAGGGCACGCAGTAGCAGCCGCAGCAGAGCCCTGCCTTAGCGGCAACCCCTTCAGTAGCATGTGAGCTCGCGAGCCCCCGGAAATGTTGCTGCCCACTCCCCCTCATGGTAGCTGCCCACGCCGCAGCCACTGGTTGCGCCCCTGCAGCCGCTGCAACAGCTGTAGCTGGGCGTACTCCGGGTCAAGTTCAGGCTCTACTGGTCTGGCGAGGCGCGCTCTATCCGCACCAGCAGCACAGGTTGGGAGCCGGGAGCAAAGCACGACACACTCAGCGAAGTTAACTATGAAGACAGCATACCTTCCCATCACTACGCACATACTCGTGTGGACCAACGTGGCGGCCGTGCACCACTCCGTGCACCACTCCGCTTCCTCCGTTATCCTACCCTCAACCCCAGCAGGCCCCATCGGGCTGCCCCTATGCTGTCGAAGCGTCCTCCCCGCTTCCCTCCACCTCCGGCGGCTGCCCGGTGCAGTCCCCCTCCTCCGCCTCCCCTTCCGCGGACGGTGGCACTCTCAACCCGCTCAACAACATCCCCGCCTCGCTGTCCGCCATGCCTCCCGAGGTCCCCGGCCTCAGCTCGCAGCGGCAGACCTCCAACATCCCCATGTCGCCGCCCGAAAAGTTGCCGCCGCACCAGCAGTCGGGGCAGGACTTCTGGGTCTACCCCTCGGAGCAGATGTTCTTCAACGCCATGAAGCGCAAGGTGGGGGCCGGGGTAGCTGGTTGGGTGTAGATGGTTAGGGGTAGCTGACTAGGAATAGCTTGCTGTGGGGGGGGGGGGGCTGGTGTCAGCATGTAAGGGGGTGTGGCGGCTGGCGGGTGCCTTAGGGACTTGCTAGTTTCTAGTTTGGGAGGGAGGGATGCAAAGGGTCGCCAACCCCTTACCTCCCCCCCTCCCTGTCAGGGTCTCCTGCTGTTCGACCGACACGACTGGATGGTGGACCGCCGCGGCAAGGTGGGGGGCGGGGCGGAGGGGGGCATAGCCGTAGGAAAGGAGCCGTTTCCGTATTTGCATACAGGAATCCCTCAGGGGAAAGGGCGGGACACCGCTCGCCATCGCGGGGGGGCATGTTCGTACCCGTGCAAGTACGGTAGATAGGAAATTGGGAAGGGGCAGCGCTCTTGACTACGATGCGCTGCGGCATGCAGCTAGCAAACGTTCTTCTGGTAGGGATTACACCGCTTGTGCCGGAGGGCTTATGCCTGCCTGCTGCCAAGAACGCCGCATGCTTGCCTCAGTTGTAACCACTTTGACATTGTTCCCGTACTTTATGTCACATGGTCAGTGTTTTGCCTTCGCAATCTTGTAGTATTACATTGGTGAGGGCCCTCTGGGAGGGGTTATATGGTCTTGTACATGTCTTTTTGTCTCCTCTCCCTCTTCCTCCTCCTACCCCACCCCCCTCCCCAGGTGCCTTGACATGTCCATAGTGGCATGGCCCTTTACCCCCACTCCTCCTGCCCTTTACCCCCACCCTCCCCCTGCAGGGCTGGGACCCGCAGGCTGACGACATGCGCAGTGTGGTGGCCATCCACAACTCCGTCAACGAGCGCGCCTGGCGGGAGGTGATGGCGTGGGAGCGGCTGCACTGCCAGGAGTGCGCGGAGCCGCGACTGAAGCGCTTCCAGGGCCGACCCAGCGACCTAAGCCCCAAGGCGCGACTGCTCAACTTCATGGTGCGTGTGTGTGTGGAAGGGGACACGATATCGAATCAATAGATGGGCAGGAAAAGGGGCAGGCAGAGGGGGAGGAGTAGTGGCAGGCCGAGGAGGGTTTTGTTGGGTAGGGAAGCGTGGCGGAGGTCCTAGATATCCTTAAGATGCTATCCCTTCGAGCATCCCTCGGTATCCCTGTGTATCCCTCTCTGCTCTGTCGGATTCCTGTGACGCTGCTGATTTGGGTCCTTGCTGCTAACCCGCCCCCTTCCCCCCCTGCTCTGCCTCTCCCTTTCCCTCTCCCTCCCTCCCAGGGTTTCGGACTGCCCTTCGACCGCCACGACTGGGTGGTGGACCGCTGCGGCAAGGAGGTGAGTGCCCGCCATTACTGCATGCAGCTAGGGTTGACGGCGCTTGCGCAGCGTCACCAGAGGCCATTAGCCCGCCTGCCACGAACTTTTAAAAATGTCGCATTTGCCTTGACACTTTGTTTCCACACATGGTTGATGTTTTGCCTGGTCTCCATATGTCCCTCACCATGCAACATCACATCACGTCACAACTCGTTACCATGCTTCCTTGCCTCCACCCTCCCTCCTCCCCGTTCCTTCCCCCCTCCCCAGGTTCGCTACATCATCGACTTCTATAACGGCGCCCCGCAGCCCGGCCAGCGCGCCGCCGCCGCCTTCTTCCTGGACGTGCGGCCCGCGCTGGACTCGTTCGAGGCGGCCTGGGACCGGGTGCGCATGCAGCTGTCCTGGGTGACGAGCGGGCGGTGGAGGGACTGAGCGGGGGAGGGAGGGGGGATAGAGGAATCATGCGTTGAGCGGGGGAGAGGGAGGCGAGGGTGGAGGGGCTGAGGAGGATGAATGAAGCGGTCGAAGAGGGATTAGATAAACTGAGCCGCGGAAACACTGACCCTGACCGTAGGTTACCGGAAATGGCTTGAGGGTGTTCCAGACGTCGAAGTATTGGAATCAGCGTCGTAAATAGTTGAACGCAGCTAGGAATGTAGCAGAAGAGGGAGGGAGGGTGAGGTGGGAGGGTGCATGGAGCAGTGGGGGGAATTGGTAGGCTGCGAGGCGTGTGATTGCGGGGTGGCTGCGAGTGCAGGGAGCTCCGTGGCAGGGATGATGATGAGGAGGGGGGGAGTGCATGGAGGTGATGGGCCGGCTGTTTGTAAGAACTAAGATGAAGGGCTTCGTGCGCGGTCGGGCGGTTTCAGTGCCGTCACGTTACCATGTGGGTCAGGGCTTGGTATGTCGGGCGTGTGCGACCGCTGGGGCTACGGTGTCCAGGGCGGCGGATGAAGGATGGAGGAGTCACACTTTTGTAAAGGAAAGTGTGGATTTTTTCCGCAATTGTCGAGCTATAGCTCCACGGGGAACTGCGGGAGGCGGGCGGGCGGGCGGGAGGGAGGGCGGGCGGGTTGGAAGGGAGGAAGGGTTGCGACGTACAAGGGAATGGATGTTTCGCCAGGGAGGTAGGTGGGAGGGTGGGGCCGCAGGGTGGGGACAGGAGGAAAGGAGGAGCAGTCACGGGGGCGCTACTCCCAGGTCCCACAACCAAATAGAGACCAATTGGTCCCCCACTCCCCGGTGGCCCATATCCCATCACATTCAGGCCCTTGCTTGTACGCCTAGCCGTGACAAGCGCAATCACGCAGCACAACCCATGCAGCTGCGTATACATGACGTTTGGTGGAAATAGCCAAGTCATCGCACGATCGCAGGCCTCTCAGCACGGATGCCGCGTCTTGGAGCTCGTACACATTCCCGTTACGCAACCACGCAGAGAGGCGAGTTCGGAGTTTAAACACATACACATAGATAGTCCATGCGCTGTCGCATATTTGGGGCTCCGCCGCGGCGCGGCTTCGAGGTGGCGATGCCGCCGTAAAAGCGAGCACGTAGATACGACCAACGCAACTAAATGAAACTTGTTACCTTTATCAAGTATTAATGTCAGCGTGTCCAGGAAAACTTACAACGCAAAACGATGACCAGTCAAGAGCCAACGGCAAGGACCACTTACCGGGTATAGATAACGTCTCTGGCGTACATCTTGCAGCAGCATGTCGCGAATCGACAAGCCCGGACCTCGGCTTTGACGAGGCATCCGAAGACGAAGACATGCTCGGCGTTGTTTTCAGCTAGTCGGCATGCTAAGAAAGATGCTCATGCAACGCACCACAATTTACTTCCACTGCAATGGAGGTGATGCGAAAGAACACGCAAACGGTGTTCGTTTTCTCTTAGCTGGAAAAGGATGGAGCCCCTTGACACGGGTACGAAGATATGATGGCCACTGGAATGACAGCTTGACAGGCATGCGTATCTGTGACCCCATGGCACCAGCTGAGCTGACAACCCTATAAAAGACGCTGGCAGGTCTTTTGGGGAAAGTTTTGGCTGGAAAGCCGTAATTATAACCCTTGCTTAGGAAGCCGAAACCCCTTGCCTGTAAAAAATACTGCCCGTGCCGGCGGTGGACGGGTCGGGCTTAGGGCATAGCTGGCGTGCTTGGTGTCATCCCTCCCGCTGACACACCTTGCTTGTTAAGGCGAAACCCCTTTGCTTGAAGTTGTTGTGTTAAATGCATGCGTAATCTGACGAGCTGGCAACCCCTTTACCAGTTGAGGCTGACAGGCATGTCGCTTTGATACCGACACGTGCTAGTGTACAGTGTAGTTGAGTAGGACAAGAGCAAGCAATGGGAGAGGTTCGCATGTGAACCGCGAGTACAAGCAATAACAGATGTGACCCAACCTGATACGTAACTATCAGGTGCTGGATGTAAGAAGAGTGGCGGGTTGACGACGTATGTCGGTGATGCTAGTGTACAGTGTAAGAAGGCATATCCATGTCCCAGGGCGGAGCCCCCACCGTGACACCGCTTTAAGGGGGCGATGGGGCCCCTTAGGATTGCCCACCTCCTTGTGTGCGTGCGTGCGTCCATATGAACAAAACTTTGGCTGTTAGGTACTGTTCTACGTAACGGAACGGGCTCCCAGTAGATGCAAGCATGGCCCCACCGACTTTTGCAACTTTGCGCTTTGCAATTAACCGCTGTTACCTACCAACGCTGTTACTTATTGTGCGTGTTAATTACAGGGACGGTTCAACATCATATATATAGGAGCGGTGTCGGTGGCCGATGTGGATGGCTGGTAATCAAATTGTTTGCGGCGGAAAAACTTTTTGCTGGAGTGGCACCTAGTATTGCCCAATAGAGACAACATACATTGTTATTTTCAAGTTCCAGTCTGGAATAATTTAATATGCGTTGCCGTTAGATATACGCGCAACGCATATATCTAACGGGCATCGCAACGGGGGCTCCGCCTGAAAAATCTACTTAGTGAGCGGTAAAACAGTACCAAGTAAAGCAGCATGCCGGAAACTGGCGGCGGAGCTTGGAGTGATCCCAGGCGCCAGAAACCCCTGCTCGGTACGAAAGGCGCCGACGGGGGTGTTGGAATGGCAATTGCTTTTTTTGAAATCCAATACACACCATATGGAGTTAGCCGTACACGCACCATACACACGACACCAAGGGCAAGTTAACCATTAGAAGGCGCACACCAGCCATTACTACGTTCCTGCTCACAACACTACATATATATAATATATTGAACAGTAACTGTTCCTCCCTCCATGGACAGCAGTGTCATTTCGCGGCCTATTGAGGATTTGACGTGTCAGTAAACTGACCTCTGCCCCAAGGCAAGCAAACCGAGTTTCAGCTGTAGGCCCATCACAAGCACCCAATTTGAACCATAACGGCCAACTGCTGCCGCCGATCCAACATTTCGGCCTTGGAGCCTCTACCCCCAGCCACGCTCCCCGCAAGATCTCAAAGCCGTGGAGCAGCACAAGATGAGATGACAAGAAAGCGCCAAGCATATTAATACTAAATACGGCAAAAAGGCCCGTAGAACAAACTAACGACACAAACGGCATGTGCCATCAACCCATTACAGCAGGCAACCAGCAAAGGCAACCGCCGGAGCAAAAGAAGGAACGGACCTAGCGACCGAGTCCACGTCGACGGCAACCAGCGTGACACACACTACGGACATGGTGTAACAGGACCGAGCACAAATTGTAACTGGACATTGCCGTGGAGCATTGCTAAGAAGAAGCTAGTTTAGGAGTTCTAGTTTAGGAGACTCAAGAAACCAATGCCTTGTGTACGCCAGTCTCCAAAAAACCATTCCTAGTTGCCCTCCTCCATCTTTGTCTGGGCCTTCGAAATGTTGCCCATATTTCCTTGCACCTGAAGGCGGCCTGACCCTTACGGTAACCACCTAACCAAAATAAAAACCGCTGCATTCGCCGCACCTCCTCACCAGCTAAACAACAAAGCGGAACCGTATGTAAGCACAAGCAAGGCCCACATGACATCCACAATACTCCCAAAACCTACGCGCCAAGACAATTACCACTCCGACTGTTTTGAATCTCATTGTTCTAAGCTGGAAACCGCAACTAAAGCAGGTAGACGTCGCGAATCCAGACCATTACGCTAGTACTGGAGACGCCCTAACAAATAATCCAGCCTAATAAACGCCAACAGCGCGAGAACAATAGGCCCCCTACACGGTATCCATCCCTGACACAAACGCACACAAGCGCCTATCGTATAACGGCTGGCAGCGGGGCTTGCATGGACGCCCACTCAATCAGATCTCCCACGGATGGCCGGAGATACACGTCGGCACAAACGGCCCACCAGCAGGCCCACCAAGGCGACGAGGCCCCTGTCAGGTGCGCTCTCAAGCAAATAACTTTTAATTATAAGCACAAATAAACGTTAAAAATCCGCACGTTCCCTGTGGACCGAACGGTCACGGAGCAACAAAGGCTTTCCATTGGGCAGACAGCCATACGCGCGGCACTTGGGGCCCACAAGCAAAGACACCGGAACAACTGCACCTTGCAACCGACTCTGAAGTGTCATTCCACCTGATTACGAGGACACTCACAGGCCGTGGTAGGCTGACCAGATTTCCTCAAGCAGAAACCGCTAACCGCCAGCATTGCGGCATTTTGAGCTGACATACAGGTCACGATCAGCCAAGCGAACGGATATGCCGTTCATAACACACACGCACCAGGGCTACACCAACCTGGCGTATCTGCTTTAACTACGAACAGTGACACGCTGTCCGTTGGAATACACGCATAAATAGTTCTAACAAGAGTGTTGCTTGCTATCACCAAGATGTGCTGTAAACACATATGGTCTTGTCACTGCTGCCGCTGGTCAGCGACCGGCCATCCGGGCTCCACGCCACACTCCGGATGACTCCATCATGTCCCTGGATGGGGCGGGGCAGCAGCATGAAAAGAAGTGTAACCGTGCAAGAAACTAAAGCGGCGTTTGGTATAATAAGGGAACTAAAATTAATACTGCCGGCGGCTCAGTCCGGATACAATGCACAAGATGTAAGTATGACTCAAAAATGTTGCACATAGCATCAATGGCAAAGAAGAAACTACTTTTGGCTCTAGGTGGCTAGAAGCTAGCCCCTACTACTTCTGAAAACTGGAACCCAGTATCGTCTTGCTTTGAGTAAGCATGTCACCTGTAAGCCATCCAACTCATCCGTCTAGCTGGCACCACCATGCATGCCCGCTAGCTGACATGCCCATTACCTCACCTGCAGGGTGGCAGCACACTCGCCGCTGGCTGCATCCCACAGCCGGATGGCCTTGTCATCGCTGCCGCTGGCCAGCGACCGGCCATCCGGGTTCCATGAAACGCAGAAATGGATGCCATCATGTCCCTGGGGGCATGCAGCATGTCAGGGAGGCTTGTAAAAAGGTCTGAAGGCGACAATGCGGACGAGCCTTCCCTTGAAGGGTGTTGACTGATACTACCAGTTAAGTACTCCCAACAGACAAACCGATATACCCATTACTCTGGAACTATTCAGCGCCTTACCGCGCGCTATACATACTCAATTGTAATCCAGATCGTCTGAGTTGATGTCCTCGAGGAGAGCTAAACTCAATGCCGACAACACTTAGCGTCAACCTGTGCATACGTGGAATGCAATGCCTGCTAGTTGCAATGTGCACTACTGGCTTGCCTGCATTTTGGCAGTGCACTCGCCGCTGGCAGCATCCCACAGCCGGATGGTCTTGTCGTCGCTGCCGCTGGCCAGCGACCGGCCATTGGGGCTCCACGCCACACTCCGGATGACTCCATCATGTCCCTGGGGCAAGGGTCATGGAAAGGTGACCGTGTCGAGGCTTAAACCCGGGTCAAGACACTTGCAACGTTGCAAGGTTTGCAAGGTTTTACGGGGCAATTGCGTGGAGGTTGGCTTTGGTTTTACTTTAGTCATGAAGCGTAGCTAGATGCAATAC